GGAGTGGCAGATTAGCATGATAGAACTTATCCGCGCCCTCGGTATCAGATATCCTCCCGGATATGGCGTTAAAGAGGTCACTAACCCATCTGGTTTCCGCATCAACGACTTCTACCACCAGATTTGTCGTCCGAATTCCCTCGAGGAGCAGTTCGTGTGCGGGCAGACGAAGGTCACCACTCTTAGACCTCAATGACACATCCTCAACCTCCTCCTCACGGGCTCGGTGCGTCCAAATGTCAGTGGCCCGCATGAGCTCACCAAGCATGTGCTCTACTTCATGTATGTGCTATGAAGAATCCGGATTTCGACCTGCACCTCGGCTTGGTTGTGGCGAAGACCTTCGCCAAATTCCATAACAAGCTGAACTACCTCTACTATGGTCCCTTGATCACATGTCTGGCTCGCCACATTGGGTTGAACTTTCAGGGGCTGACTAACGCCTTTGAATAGTTAGGATCTCACCCGCTCGTCAGGAACGTCATCTTCAACGCCCTCCTCTTGTCTTTCGCTAATGGTCGAGAGTGGGTGGATGGTCTTTCTATGCCTCCTGCTCCTGGAGCGAGTGCTGAGGATGATGGCGACGAGGATGCAGATGATGATGATGATGGCGGGGCCATGGAGGCCAACAAGCCGGAGCCCCCACTTTCCCCACTTGGGCCCCTCCCTCCGCGAGGAGATCCGAGAGAGGCGAGTACTCCTATGGTCCTTCTGTTCCGCCGATGGACTTTTTCACCGAGCAATTTGACCTTATGGGGCTCTAGATTCCGCAACTTGGCCTCCAGAACTAGCAGCTCATGGACCACCAGTACTAGTTTCAGCAGCAATACTCAGCCCACCAGGATGAGTATGCCACCAGGATGGCTGCTTTCGACGAGTGCCTCAACCGTTTTGAGGCTCAGCAGGGTGTCACCCGTGCTCACATCGAGCGGGAGCAAGGCCACATCCGTCGGATGATGGAGTACCAGGAGCACTTGCTTCAGTCCTATCATTTGCCACAGGAGCACCACTGGACCACTCGGTGGGAACACTCACCACCACCAGAGGACCTTGATGACCTCATGGACCATATCGACTTTGACCACCTCGAGTAGGCTGTACTCGCTGGCTCTTCTCTTTGTTTGTCGTGTGTTTTGTTTTGTTTTGTTTGGGAAGGATTGCAAACTGGATTTTTGTGCTTTGATTGTTTTTCTCTTTTGGATATTGTCACATTGGGCTGACAACTCTACCTAACGAATTTGTGTTTGAGTGGTTGTTTTTGCTCTAGCCCGTGTTCATGGTTCCAATAGTCCCATTTCCAGTCCTTCCCCGCCCGACTGGTCCACTTTTCAGTCCCGCATCAGTCTGTTTTCCCGGTAACATTGTTCCCCTTCTCTTTCCCTCTTCTCCATTGAGGTCCATGTCGATCTTAAGTGTGGGGGTGTTTATATTTGACTGCTTAGTGTGTTTGTGTGCTTGGAGCGTAGTCAACTGTCCAAATCTTTGATTTGAGGGCTCCAAGTACGTGTTCCTTGCAATGACCTGCTCAGTATGATTTGAATTGACAGTCTTTATAGTACTATGCAATCTAGGGACTAGGGAGATAGTGTAGCGCTATGGAGGATGCTGAAGTATAAGATCTTTCCTATCTTTCTTTTTTCTGTGTCGGTTGATTGTGTGAACTAGTGGATGTAGGACCTTTGATTCATTTGATATCGATGACTCTCTCTTGCTGTGTATGGACTGATGTTTCGTATAAGGGTGCTCAAGTGCGTAATGATAAAGCAGTTGGTCCTCCATGTCAGAAAAATTGAAATTTTAAACATGGGGTAAACCCAACGTGTGCGGCATCGTTCATTGCACAAAATCGGGTTTTGGAAGCGATTTTAATGATCCTTAGTGGGGTAGGCCTACAAGGTGAAGCTAAGTCATATCTGGTACAAGTAAAAATTCCACCCGTTGAACAGTTTGCCTACTTGAGGATGTATTTTTAAGGGCACAGATAAAGCTTCCGAATCCCCTTAATTTCATTTACCCTCCACACGAAGTGAGGAAATGAGTTAAAAGAAGTACTCTGGCGAGCGACATATGTACAAAAATTGCTCTTGCTCACCCAATACGGGTCGACCGCGCATAAAAACTGCAGCTTTGAACCCCAACAAAGTGCAAACGTGAAAAGCAAAAAAAAAAAAATAGAAACAACTAATAAGGAAAAGGGGTTCCAATGAGTGAAATGGACTGGAAGAGCACCCGATACGAAGAGTATTTGGTTGTTGTGATATGTGAGTGAGTCTCTTTGTCCATGAATTGTCTGTCCTATGTCCACTGCTTCACATGATCCTGGTGTGAGTCTAGTACTCGCATTGAGGGAAATAGGGGATGTCATAGAAAATCAATTGACCTCGTAAGTTGCTAAATGATCTAGGAAATCCTCTATCGACAATCATGGTTTCATGGTGCTATAGAGGTCTAATGAGTTGCATTGGTTTGAGCCAGGTTTGCTTGGGGACAAGCAAACGGTTAAGTGTGGGGGGATTTGATAAATCGTTATTTGTACATGTTATTTCCCACTAATCTTGAACCGTTTGAGAGTTGATTCTCGTGTTTTAAGCCGATTTCACGCTAGGTTGCTCTTTTATGTCATATTTCAAGACCTGGAGCGAAAAGAAAGGCTTGAAGGTGAGTTTCGGGTAAAAACACCAAGGAAGCTGAAGGAGGAGTGCAAGGACCAAAATCCCCGGTCTAGTAATCAAAAACCCGACCGAGGAAATGGTTTAGTGGCTGGGGAAACACTCCATGGATTTTACCCAGTTTGGACCCCCAGTTACCCGATCAGTTCGCTTAAAACCCGATTGAGTAATTGGACCGCGTTTCGGGCAGGAGAGCTGTTTGAAGGAAATTTTGGGTTCTTTGTTCAATTATTCAAGTTTTAGAGAAATAAAGTGAAACCCAGAGAGAGAAAGCGACGAACTAAACCTCCAAAATGACCTAGATCGAGTTTTGACGCCATTGGAGCTCGATTGAAGCTTGGAGAAGTGTCGATTGACAACCAGAAGCTAATTTTCATCCTCCACATAATGATTTCTGCATCTGAAACTGATTTCTCTTCTCTCTCTACGGAGTAAATTCTCTCTCTCACCTGAGTATGAAGAACCCTAGATTTGTATGCTAGGAAGAGTTGTATGAACTTGAATTCATGATTGATTGACGTTTATATCCAGTTGAGGCATTAATTCATAATTACTTGAGTCTTGATCAAACTTTTGTGATTTCTACTTTAACCTAGAATGATAGTCTCTGCATAGGTTGAAAGAGCATCCTGAATTGGAAATGGTGAATCGGCGACTTTTAATCGAGAGGTCGATTCACTGCTCTGTACTAGAGTTGAAATCCAATACAAGAAGTTTTGTTTGATAGTGCCTCGGTTAGCTTATGCCGGTGGAGGTTAGTCGCTCGCCGGGTATTCGAACCGAGAGGGTATGGAGACCTTTAGTCGAGACTTCAGATTGACTAAGAACCTTCCGCAGTATAATTGTTATTAAATATGGAGTTGGTGAATTATAACTTGGCTTAACTGCAATCTAAGGGGAACCATATCTGGGTGACCTCTCTCAAACTTGAACTACAACCTTTATTGTTTTGTGGTTTGTTTAGATTAATTACAACTTCTCTACCGTCAAATAACTAGATAACAAGAATTCATGGAGTAGTCATAACATCTAGGACCCGGGTTGACAAGTAAAGCTAAGCCCGCTATACTACGCATTAGTAGGTGGTTACACTTGGCCACTTTCTAGTGTGACGGTACAGGCGAGTTAGCCATCCGAACTATGGTTTGAGGGAGAAGCCTAAGCAACCCTTAGTCGATTGGCCAAGAGAGCTACATTGGTATCTTGATTTGATATCCCTTGGCCTAACGACCGAGAGAGTGAAGCATTTTCACTTGTTGTGCTACCCTACGGTTTACGACCACTTATACCACACACTTGCATTCGGTTCGACAAATCATGATTACTAGCTAGGGGGTGCAGTACTCAAGTGAAGCCTTCTCAATTAGTGTTCAAAACCATTTGCATTTCCAATTTCTTTTAATTATAGTCCATAATTTTATCCAAAAATCGGTTGCTAGATAATGTTTCAAACAGTTCAAGTAGGGGTACATGGACCGGCCCGGGTTTGACCGTTAAAACATACTTGCCCTATACTGCACCCGTCTAGGGTTTATACTTGGGCCTTAGTCAGGATTTAAATTGTGCTATTCGGGACGAGTCAGCGAGTCGAGCAAGAATAATGTGAGGCAAGGGGTCGATCCAAAGCAGGGCAGTCCGTAGTCGTATGCTTTAGCTGAGGTTGTGGGCTGACGCACGTTGTTGCTGAGAGTAGGTGTGGCCGCCTTAGAGCGTGCAATTTCGCGGGAATGTAAGAGGTCGCTTCTAGCGTGCGAATCGACTTGAGCGCCCGACCGTAGCAGGCCACGAAGACGAGAGCAGGTGATGTCGGCGAGAAGGCGCACTAACGATGAGAGCGAACGAGATTGCTGGTTGCTCGGACTGCGCTGAGACTAGGTCGTCGCCTCTGAGAGATGAGCTAGGGTTTGTGCTTGGAGAAAAATTCAGAATGGGAGGGGAATCAAAATTTAGAGGGATCAACATTCAGCTGAAATCCTCCTTTGACCAAAATGGCGTCGCTACACGCCTAAACCTGATGCTCGGGTATGGGTTGATCTTCAATTGGGCAACAACCACTCGTTTGCAGTATCAGGTCTTCGTCAAACTGTTCGGACCGTCCAGTTGAACCGCAGGCTGATAAACTTGATTTAGATCGACAACGACTTTCCGTGATGGTGAAGGGATAACTTGCCGACATAAGGAAAGGACGAAAACCCTATTTTAGTAATTTCATCGTAAAATCAGGATAGGTAACCCAAAGGAGAATCGTCCCAGATTTTTATTACACCAACGAGAACTGTTCAGATTCAGACTTCATAGTAAAAAATAAAATAGAATAAAGGAGAAGGGTAGAAAGTAGAAACGCATTAACGCAATGCGGTCTGGCTCTAGCTGGCCGGCTTGTTCGCTTACTTACTGTTAATTACTCCCAGTGGGAACTCTGCTCTGCTCGTCTATCTCTTCTATTCTCTGTCACAGAGCTCACATCTTTCAGACAGTCGCGTTCACTACATACACCGCCAAGGAAAAGCAAATTATTTATTTCCATTTCCATTTTCTCTTGTTCTTCCACATTGTGGTTGAATTGGGTAGATAGATCGGAGGAGCTTCTTTTCATTTCAATATATTATTAGGGTTCTTGAGATATTTGGTGCCACGTACTAGCTTCCCCTCCATCTGAGATCTCTCTCTCTCTCTCGTTGCTCCCAAAGCTCAACTCTTTTCTTCATTATTCCTTGTCTGAGCACAATCTACATTGAAAAGCTCACATCTTGGAGATTGGTTTTTTCCTTTGATTGGTGGGAGGGAGCAGATCTTTGAAAAATACTGCTCCAACCTTTCTATCTAAATTTTATTGGGGGTTACCCTCTTCTTTTTATGTGATTCGCAATCGGTAAGCATCCAACTACCTATCTACCCATTATATGCAAGATCGTTTCTTTTTCTTAAAAATGAAGAGCACTTGGTTTCAACTATGTAATTTCGCCTTCTGTTTCTAGTTTTCTATAATTAATGGCTAAATTTGAAGGATCGTTTAGTGTACTGTTGTCTGCTGAATCCATTTAATTCCTCAACCGTGGATGGAGTTAATCCCCATTAATGGCGAATTCCAGTAGTCCCCACCCCACTACCACCCCGATCATTGTACTTGCCTTTTGATTTGGTCTTCCCCTTCGGAGTACCATGGCGGTGAAATCACCTCCGTGGATAGTTTTGAAACAGAGAAGAAAGTTTTCAAACCATGCGATCCAAAGTACACCGATTACACCCCCTGTCAAGACCAGAGGCGTGCCATGACATTCCCTAGGGATAACATGATATACAGGGAGAGGCATTGTCCCCCAGAGGAAGAGAAGTTGCATTGTCTAATACCAGCTCCTAAGGGCTACGTGACGCCGTTCCCTTGGCCTAAGAGTCGTGATTATGTCCCTTATGCGAATGCACCTTATAAGAGCTTGACTGTTGAGAAGGCCATTCAGAATTGGGTTCAGTATGAGGGTAATGTGTTTAGGTTTCCTGGTGGAGGGACGCAGTTCCCACAAGGTGCTGATAAGTACATTGATCAATTGGCATCGGTTATACCAATTAAGAATGGAACAGTTAGAACATTGCTCGACACAGGTTGTGGGGTATGTAAAATATCCTTCCTTCTCTTGCTAGCAACATCGTTTCTTGTGCTGATATTTGGATCTATTTCTGACTTTTGTTTTGCTCTGTAATTTTAGGTTGCTAGTTTGGGTGCTTACCTGTGGAACAGAAATGTGATTGCCATGTCATTTGCACCAAGAGACTCGCATGAAGCACAGGTTCAATTTGCTCTTGAAAGAGGTGTACCTGCTGTGATTGGCGTTCTCGGTACTATAAAGGTGCCGTATCCATCCAGAGCTTTCGACATGGCTCATTGTTCTCGGTGCTTAATACCATGGGGTGCCAATGGTGAGAGCATCATTTGGATACCTTTTTATTTTTGTTCTTTGTTTTTCTTTTAATATCTTATCTTAGACCTGGTTATTGGCTTCTTTCCGTAGATGGGAAATACTTGATGGAAGTGGACCGAGTTCTTAGACCGGGTGGGTATTGGATTCTTTCGGGTCCTCCAATCCATTGGAAGGTTAACTACAAGGCATGGGAGCGTCCTAAGGAAGAACTTCAGGAGGAGCAAAGGCAGATTGAAGAAGCTGCCAAAATGCTTTGCTGGGAGAAGAAGTACGAAAAGGGTGAAATTGCTATCTGGCAAAAGAGAATGGATGGTGATTCATGCCATAGTAAACAAGATAAATCTCAAGTTACCTTCTGCAAATCTTCTGATCCTGATGATGTGTGGTATGTTTCTCTGAATATACAATTAAGGAAAGTCAGTTCGAGAGTGAAGAAATTGTTCGACCTCTTTATGGATTTTATTGTGTTTAGTTGCAAAATTGTCTACATCCCATCACCTACCTTTTCTAGTGAGATGTTTCTTAGATTTAAATGATTGGTACACTAAACATTTGTTTCGAGAAGGTTTCTTTTTACTAGCAACTCTATTTTTAAGTGGATGCAAATGTACCCTTTATCTTAGTTGTGAATGAAGATTAACATTTGTTCTTGGTGGCTGCCAGGTACCAGAAGATGGAGGCTTGTGTCACACCTTATCCTGATACCAGCAGCTCAGAACTTAAAAATTTCCCTGAAAGGCTTTATGCTGTTCCACCAAGAGTTTCTAGTGGTTCTGTTCGTGGAGTTTCAGCTGAGAAATACCAAGAGGACAGTAACGAATGGAAGAAACACGTCAAAGCTTATAAAAGAATCAATAGACTTTTGGATTCTGGAAGGTACAGGAACATAATGGACATGAATGCTGGATTGGGAGGATTTGCTGCTGCACTTCAGTCTCCAAAGTTGTGGGTTATGAATGTTGTTCCATCTATAGCTGAGAGAAGTACACTGGGTGTGATATACGAAAGAGGCTTGATTGGAATCTATCATGACTGGTAAAAGCTTTCAGTGTCTTTCACTTTTCTTTGGATTATTCATTACCTTAGGGTTTCATACTGAACGCTTTGGTTTGTCAATAGGTGTGAGGCTTTTTCTACATACCCAAGGTCCTATGATTTAATTCATGCCAATGGTCTTTTTAGTCTGTACAATAACAAGTAAGTATCGGCTTTTCAGTTATTGTTGAATTCTGTAAATAGTTCGTCCGCTCTTTACCAGTCATGCCATCATCTTTGGTTTACTGTTGCTCTTTTGTCAAAGTCACATTGTTCTTTCCCTTTTGTGAAAGCACCATTGTTGATTTAGTTTACATTCTTCATTCTGCGTGCTGATACCACCTCATCTCCTGTTTACTGTAAATTGCAGGTGTAATCTAGAGGACATCCTTCTGGAGATGGACAGGATTTTGCGACCAGAAGGTGCAGTTATAATCCGAGATGAAGTGGATGTACTAATCAAGGTGAAGAAGATAATAGGAGGAATGAGATGGGATACTAAAATGATGGACCATGAAGATGGTCCTCTTGTTCCTGAGAAAATACTGGTCGCAGTCAAGCAGTACTGGGTTGCAGGTGGCAACTCTACATCCACCCAGTGAGCTTCATGTATGGCCGCTCGAGATATTTCAAATGGACCTCCTTGAAGTAGCCCCTGGTGAAGCAGAAACCCATCCTCGTGACGGATTCATGTGCTTGGACTGTTTCTTCCTGCAGAGCAAAATGAGCAGTGGGGTGCTTTAATTTAAACCAACACATGTTTGGTTATGGTTCTATCCTATTGTTCTTAGCATCTGGTGCCGTTGTGTAGTTGTAATGCCATTGATGAGAAAGCTAGAAAAGGATAGTCTTTGTGATGTTCCTAGCTAGCCTGTGTTACATTGAGAGCTTCTCCCTCGTTCTCCTCCAATTTTGTTGTACTATCAATTTTGTGCATCTGTCAATTTTGATATTGTTGCTTGATGGATCATATCAATCACCGGTCACTACCAACGCATCTCACATGGGGGTAATGAATTTTGTGTTTTTATTAAAGTCTATATTGGTCGTTAGAATAATCGTCGGTGATTAGCTGGCTTTGGTGTGACATCAACCGGTACTTATGGCAAGGTTATCAGACCGGTGGGAAAAATGGGTGCCAAATGTATGTGGCACCGGGCCGTGCCGCCATTAGAGCATGGCACGAGCATGAGCACGAAATAAATGGGTCAGCTCGGCACGAGCACGAATAATTGATAAGCTGTGTAGGGTTTAAACTTTACGGGCACGAGCACGGTATATAAGTGGACCGTGACGGGTCTAATATTTTTGAAACTTTATTGAGTATAACAACGGACATGGCAGGAAAATAATATTTATTTGATATTTTAGAATTGTCATAAGGATATATGCGTAATAACTACCATAAGTAAAAATGGATGAATAATTAAACAAAGTCAAATCACACTCGCTATACTTCCAATTCCCTCCCCTATTTGTTACTTTTCTCAAACATTATCAGTTAATACTATCTTCTTCCATCCAATTTTCACCTTCTTTTTCATTCTCTCTTTTGTTTTCTTCATTTACATTAAACATGAATACGAGCATGGCACGAGCACGAATAGGCACAGCACGATTCGAACCGTGCTCGGGCCTGGACCGGACCTAACAAAGTTAACAAATGGACTTGCATGGCACGACACGAAAACTGACGGGCCGGGCCAAACACGACACGAACCGGCCCAAGTACAGCCCATCGCCCATGTACAGTGCCAAAGTATCATATTCAATTGCAAAGGACAATGGAAATGCAATTGCATTAATGGGAGTTTCAATTGTAACAATCTTATGCAACCTACCATTTCTTGCAATTCTATGTGGACATCAATGGATTTTTTATTTAATGTATGGATAAAATAATAAACATATAAACTTTTTATTTTATTAAAAAAAATTGTGTCCACATATATAATTGCAAGTTAAAAGTAGTGAGTTTGATTGCAAAAAAAACTTGATGTGACAATAAAACGTACAAATACAATTATTGGGATTTCCTAGAGTAACTTGGGTATAATTTTAAGTTCGATAACTTGATTAAATCTAAACCATTAAATTATATCTTAATCACTTTAAGCCATTGATTAAAAGGAAAAAAAGAAAGAAACACGAAAATAAAAAAAGGGCAACCGGATGTCGGATTTCTTTAAGGGGTCGTTTGCTTGTGGGATTTGGGTGATGGATTTGGAACCCAAATCCCAAGTATCATGGAGTTGACACAAATCCTTTGTTTGTTGAGGGACACAAACCCGTGGGGTCCACGGATTTGGACCCCTTTTTTAGATCCAAATCCGTGGACCCCACGGATTTTCAAATCCCACATTTCATTTGGGATTTGACAATAGAAGGAAAAAATGTGAGACAAATCCATCACAAATCCATGATAAAAAATCAACTAAACAAACAATGTACTCTTCCAAATCCATGATGCAACAAATCCATCATAAATCCAAAGGTTTTTAAAACTCAAAACCTTCATTTTCAAATCCAACAAGCAAACGAGTAAGTTTTGCAGGAACACTTCTTTCCTTCTTTTTTCAAAGATATTAACACTTCTTTCCTTTTTATGTTTGATGTGTCTTCTTTTTCTTTTTAATTATTTTCTACTTAATACCCATTACGTAAAAGTTAAAAAACATAGATATTTCTTACGTAATAGTTAAATTAGAAGCGTTACGTAAAGCTTTCGTAATGATTTAGCAGTTTAACAAGTTGAAAGATCGAATCTAATTAGTTGAAGAAAAGTCACAATAGGAGAAATATGTATAAATACTTTAAGAAATTGTGATATAATGAGCCAAGAACGGGGCGGGGCAGGGCAGAGTGGGTTAGAAGTAGATACCCATGTCCTGTCCTACATTACTGCGGGTAGGTAATACCCGCGGGGCGGATTCAAATTGCCACCACTAAGTATGTTGTGATCTTGAGATTTCAATCTTTTGGATTAAAAACACAAAAGATGGGTTCCAGCTCTTAAAATCACGAGTTCTATCTATATTCCTCAAGCTGTTCCAGTTCATTCAAGGTGCTAATCACGAATTTAAAGTGTGTTTGAATTTTTAATACATGTTGGATTCAAGTATGAACTATTATTTTGATGTGAAGTTATACGTTATTACTTATATGATAGATGAAATTTAATATCATTTATATATGTCTGAACAATATAATGACATTTACTATATATCCAAGATAAATTGGGCTAAAACGATCAGACCATTAACCCTACACCTACTTACTCGATTGAGCCAACTAGTTAAACCGGGTTGACAATGTTGATTAATGTGAATTTCAGCGTTGGTTTCTTATAAATTGCGATTCTACTATATTTGGCCGCTGGATGCATTTGGATTTTGGAAGTAATTAAGTCCTGATGTTTGAGAATTGTATGTGTGATTTAATGGTGTCTACGTTATTGTTGATCCTCTAGAATAATTTATGTGTATGAGTTACTATGAGGAGTCGTTTGGAACCCTCTCAATTGTCATATGCGCATGTTCAAGTTAGATAGAGGTAACAATTCTTAATTTAATTCACCAATTCAATCCATTAATGCATTTAAAATATTCAATTAATCCAATTCATTTGATCCAAATTTAATTGAATTTGTGGATTTATGGATTGGCTTCATGGGTCATTGGTAAATTACAGTTTATTACCTATAATTTTTATTTTTTACATTTTGGTACCTATAATTTAATTTTTATACAAAAATATCATTGGAAGATTATGGTTTGGTACCTAAAATGTTTCATTATGACATTTTAGTACGTAAACTTTCCACATTTTACATATTGGTCCAAGGTTAAGGATGACATGGATTCCTGGATAATCCACAAATCCACTTAATCCATTTGCCACCACTAAAGTTACTAGAAGGATTCATTTGAAAGCTACCTCATCATTTAGATGGAGAAAGAAGAAGAGGTACCTCATCATTTACCACCAGTTAAACCGTCCCTCTGCACATAAGGTGCGCGTTACAAAGACAACTGTCAGAACCTTTCGAAAAGCAGAAGTTATTTTCTCCCTTGCGAAAGTATACGTCTCACCCAACTCTTTGAAACTCCCGACCTAATCCAACTAGAATTCACCTGCAACCGCTCTTTGATTCATGACCTGTGTCCTCCCAAGTCCCAACCGCGCCTATTGGAACTCAGCTTCTCTGACTGTATGCCTACTACATCAATTAGTGCAAGTAGCAAAGTACATTGAGTGATCAACAAAAGGCTGGCCCTAACAAGTTCGAAATCACTTCACCTTTAAATACACGAGGAAAAGAAAAATAGTAAAAGGAACTCCAACGAGAAAAACAATGAAAATAGAGCAGTTAAGGGAACTCCAATGAAACAAGAAAAGGAAAGCATAGCAGTCAAAGCAGCTCCAACGAAAAAAAGAGAAAGAAGGTCTAAAATTCATAATTATGAAGTTTTACAAGTTTATAATCCAATGATACGACTTGATATGAATTGACATGAACATGATATGATTGATATGGACTGATATGATCCTCACCTGAACTGACATTAAAATGATATGAATTGTATTAACTTATATGATATTGAAATGAGATGATATGAAGTCATCTGAACTGATTTGAAAATTATATGAACTTATACGATCTTGAAATGAGCTGATAGGAACTGATTTACTATTGGTATGGACTAATATGATCTTGATATGAATGTTGTATAACTGATACGATTTTGATATAAACTGACATGAACTTAATATGCATCGATATCATATTCATATGATCCTGACATGAATTGATATGAAAATGATATGATTTTGAAATGAGCTTATATGAAATAATATGAAAAATGATATGAGGTGAATTGATATTAAAATGATATGATATGAATTGATATGAACAGATATGGAAGGAGGACTTTTTCGCGTCAGTACTAGCATTTTTGCTGAGTTACCAATAATCCAATTCTTGAAGATGACAAGAAACATGAATTTAAAGAGTGCAACTGGTGTGTGTACTTTTGTGCAGAAACAACATAGGGAATGACACAGAAACAACAATGGCTTGCTGTAAATATACACTTTATCATTGTAAGTTTACAATTAACTTATTAGGTGTTCTATCGTTTTATAAAATCATATAATGATATACTAAGCATTTATGTAGAGGGGTTCATTTTCACTTGCCTTACTAACAATCATAATAGTAATAGATGAAAGATTAACTAGACGATATCGCTACCCTATAGGACTCTCATCAGTCGCCTTCAGTGGAAAATCAAATTGAACCCCTGACCTGGCATCCTTTGTATAACATGGCAAAATCATATCAGTTGGAAAGATTTTGAAAACAACATTAATTGTTGTATACCGCAATATATCATAAGCCCTCAATTGATGCTTGCTGAACCATCCACTGGACTGGACTCCCACAAACGAGATGGGCACCCTAATTTCCCATTCTCAAACTCAACAAACACATTCCTAATGTCAATCTTTGATCCCTCTTCTGTAGAATCAAAGGACAGGGCTTCTAAGACTTTTTGAATTGAAAGAACATCTTTATCCAGTCTATAAACTACTAAATTCTTGACCATGTATTCCCCATCAAAATCCCCTCTTGGTCAAATAAAATAGTTAAGTGACTCCATAAACTCCTTTTGAAACTTTCGAAAAAAGTCGGTGTACACAACCCAACAGCTTGACTCACTAACCGACTAGTAGGAAATCGTGAAACATCCAACTCATTCAATGTAAAAAACTCCCCACAATCCACATAATCCCTCTTATTCCCACCACTCTCTCAAACTGCTTCAAGATCTTAAGAATTCTGAAATCACACTGCACATATTGCTTTATGTTACTGTTGGCACATTCGCTTAAGTGTGTGCTACTCAATCGAGCAAAAAAATAACACAACCCAGGAAGCTGACCATTTACATCTCAAACAATAAATTTCCTCCAACAAATCATGCCCCATTGGACCTTTACCAGGGAAACATTTCTTAAC